TCGTGTGTGTGTGTGTGTGTGTGTGTGTGTGTGTGTGTGTGTGTGTGTGTGTGTATGTACATGTAATAGTTCATTGACAAATCGCGGACAGAATATTCCACTCATTGCGTCTTTTACACCTAGTTTAAACCATTGTAGATGTCTCTAGTTCTACACAGGTCCGGTGCATCTATATAGAGTATGTCTACATGTAAATTTTGGAGCAGGCAACCATTTTTTTTTGCTTTGCAAGTACGAACATACACCCAAATGGTTTAGTTTCCTACACCTACATAGAATTAACATGTTTGAATTTTTTAGCAATAAATGAACTATTAATAACAAAGTCTGCCCCACCCTCTCAGATTGTGACCCGGTGACCTATGACCTATGTCAGGAGGTCATGTCCAACACCACCGACATGTGGGGCATGCTGGGTAACTTCAGTGATGACATCATGGACGGGAACGACACCTTTGTAGACATGATGTCAGTCATTGAAAGGTAAGACGAATTGGCTCACAAACACAAATCCTTTAAAGAAGTACTATCATGAAAGTTCATCTGTGTTGGTAATTACATGTTAGAGTTAAAACTTTAGATCCAACACAAAGAAGTTCTCTCATTTAGAGCTTTCGACCAGTCACTCTGGTCTTCCTCAGTAGACTGACCCAGCGAGGCTTGTCACGTGGCTTCTTTGAAGGGTGACGTCAACACTGGGTTAAGGGTACATTGTATCCGGCCTCCGTCGCGGTTCAGTGAATGGTGATGGGCCCTTTAAAGAAGTCTTTATACTGAACTTCGCAGAAGGAAAACACTTTGTCTTGCACAAAACGTAAGGTCAATGACCTAGACCAGACATCTGTCACAATGGTAACTAGTGCTCTTGCAGATACCCCGTGGTGTTGGATAACATTATGTAGCAAGTTGCAGAGTTTGTGAGCTTGTCACCAAATACTGGTATATGAAAAATGTATTTGAGTAAGAATTGTTAGGCTAGACCATGTGAAGGCAAACATTATACTTTTGCTAATGCTACATTTCTAGTTTCTACATTTCTTTTCCTGGGAGTAAAAAGACATGTATTTCACTGGTAAAAATAATGACATATACATGTATTCCTACAATAAAGCTAATACCAAAATTACATAGTATTACATGCCAACACAACAAAACGAAACATTAGATTTATACAGTAAAGCTAATACGAGACCAAAATTACAAACATGTCATACACATAGCAAAAAGAAACATTAGAACCGATATTTCTTTCTTTAATATGGAAATTATTTGAATCATGTCCATGTACCTCAATCTTAGCGGTTGTCATGACAACGCGTCACTTCTCGTCTGCTCCGCCTGTCTGGACCGGCCGCTCTGCCAGACCCTGTGTGATGACGTCATGGAACAGTGTGACGACATCCTAGCGATGTTTGACGTCACCAGGCAGTGCGAGGGTTTGCCGAATGAGCTGGACCCCATCATGCAATGTATCTCTCGTAAGTTAATCATGAATTGTTTTTCTTTACAATATATTGAATGGAATTGTATATCGAATTGTTTATTGAGCTTCTAATAATGCTTGGAGATCACATTCAATATGATACAACCATGCAGAGATCTAGTCTCCACCAGACTTCTTTTGCGGGGTGAATAAATCGTAGAAATCGGCCTAAAAAGGGTATTAATTGGCCAGAGAAGCTCCAGCTCCCCGGTGGAGACTAGCAGAGATCCCTGACAGGGTTCTGAATTGAACCGTCATTTACAGTCTTTTACGCTTTTAGAAATATGTTTCCTACACAATTTGTTACACTTGGGCACTCTTAAAGTAACTTCCTATGGGAATGAATAGACAGCGCTACTCATTTCCGCAAGGCGGGCCTTCAATAAGAATGCGGTTCAAAACACATCCTTGGTTATATAATTATAGGCTGATATATCTATATATACTATTAAACTTGATGAATATTCTCCAAGCAGGGGTTTGATTCGGAGAATTAGCATGAAGTTTAGCACTGCCCTCCCCTCCAGAATACTTGTTGAAGCTAGTCATGGAACTTTGTGAACAGACGTAGTACTTCTCTTCTGCTTTAAATTTTTTCAGCTATCTAACAAGATACACCTAAAATAGTTACTCATTGACAAGCAATTGGATGTGATTTAGGAAACGGTCAGACGTTTCAGGTAGCATCCACTACCTTTGACAGTGACACTGGTGAAATCTCAAGATCAACATCTTCATTATGTGGGGACACATTTTGGTACGAGTAGTCCAAAAGGAAACAGAGTTAGACAAGGATAAGACAAGGTTGATGAAAATGAGTCAAATATCTAACTTTTTATCTCCCCCCTAAGGCGGTGTGTGTCCCGAGGGAGAGATGGAGTGCTGGAGCCCAGGGTTGAACGGGACGGAGCCGCACTGCGTCAACGCCAGTCTGGCCTGCGATGGCAACTGGGACTGTCCGTTCGGGGAAGACGAGGATAACTGTGGTACGCACTGTGGCAGTGCATGGGGAATGGAGAACCTACGTTAGCACACAGCATGGTGTATGCATAGGGAAAGAAAAAAATAAACTGCATTAATACTCACACACACACACACACACACACACACACACACACACACACACACACACACACACACACAGACACACACAGGCACACATACACCACACTCACACACACACATGCGCACACACAGGAAAACACATATACACTCATCCAGCCACACACGCACAGTCACACACACACACACAGATATACCCACTGCGGGTATAGAAAATGAGAGAGAGGAGAGAAAGGGTAGAAAGAATAGACGAATTGTCATAAAAGTAACTGAAGTGAATCCATTGATCAATCCATACATGTTCTTGGACACGAGTGTTTTGATCTTCAACACTTGTTTCCGTCTTGCTCTCAGAGGGCCGCTGCACCTCCTGGCAATTCCAGTGCGACCAGGACTTTCCGGGTTCGGAGTCCGGATCCGGAAACAGCTCGAGTCCGGAGTGTGTCCACCCGTGGCAGGTGTGTGACGGAGTCCGGGACTGTTCCTCCGGTGAAGACGAGAGGGATTGTGGTAAGATACGTGATCATTACGTCCATGAAGATTATGCATCTACATAATAAGATACACCAAAAACAGTTGCTCAAGCAACTGGATATGATTTTGGAAACTGTCAGATGTTTCTGGCGTAGTTTTTGGTTTACGAAGCAGCTGATTTTGAAATCTCTTCAATCTGTCACTGAAGTTATCCTCTTTCCATCACCAGGACTTCTGCAATGTTCTAGCTACATGCAGAAGTCCTGATGGTGGAAGGAATATGCCAGTGCACTCTTGTTTTACATGACTGGACGTTGTTGTCAGTGATCAGGCCTACCACCTTGTCTGGAAAACTGTTCCAGATGTGTACTGCAGTATGTATGAACGTTCTGCCGGTGGGGTGAGTTCTAGAGACCGGCACAGTGAGGGCATGCATTTCCTGTGGAGAGACTGCTGCAGGTTGTGCGTCTGCTTGAAGATTAGTATGCATTAACATGTTTATTCCTGTCTGTGTCCAGGTGCCGTGTGCTTACCCGGGGAGAAGGAATGTTGGAGTCTGGGTGGGAACGCCTCCTGTGTGGACTCCGGGCTGGTCTGTGACGGCGTCCGGGACTGTTTTCTGGGGGAGGATGAGGACAACTGCCACAACGGTGGGTACTTGTCATTTAAGCTGATGCAACTTTTTGTTTCCTATTCATTCACTCACTCTGCCCCGTATTTTGAATGTATAACAGGCAGAATTATCTGGTACGTTGGGGTGGGTTGGGGACAATGATGATAACGTTAGATCCCTTCTCTCCGTTTGTATTTTCAAATGAACAATTGAAACACATACAATGTAAGGATTTAGTGGTGTAAAAGATCACTAATTATCTAGCGTTGTATAAGACTATTACTCATCATCCATAGCATCAAGAACCATGCCTGAGCACTGTTCTGTATAAAGCATGGTTCTGGATACGCGTGGACGATCGAGAACCATAATCTCCAAGCAGATCCCTTTCGGTGTCAAAAGACAGTATCAAATTGGCCAGGCAGTATCCATTAGCCAGAGAGACTCCATACGCCATGGCTGACCAATTTGATATACTGTCTTTTTCCACCCTAGGATCTGCTTGGACATTACCGTGCGTGAGCAAGCTTCTGGATTAAGCATGGTTCTGGATACAACAACGAATTTGAACCACCTTTCCGTGTTTATCCGCAGGTACCCTGTTCACTGGTAACTGCACGGAGGGGGAGGTCGAGTGTTTTAGCTGGGCAGGAAACATGACCTGTGTGAACTCCAGTCTGAGGTGCGATGGCAACTGGGACTGCCCCTTCGGAGAGGACGAGGACTCTTGCGGTACGCTCAACACAAACATTGTATAATTATACATTACCGTTTAGGCTGCCATCTTTCTTCTCTTCATCCACTCTCTTTCTGGAGAGACACGGAGAGAGACAGAGAGAGAGAGAGAGATTGTCTTTTCTCACCATTCCCACAGCCAGTACTTGTAGCCCCTGGCAAATGCCGTATTGGGACCCTGAATACGGCTACGGCTGTGTGGACTATATCCTCACTTCTAAATGCTACTCTCGATGCAAAAGTTAAGGCTTTGCCTGATTTTTAACGATTTTGTACTGGTATCTTTTCTATGCCAACCAAATGGTTGGAAAATGGTAACTGCCTGGCAAATGGATGCTGCCTGGCCAATTTATGAATACTTAGCCTTGTTACCAAAGCTATTGTAGCTCCCGAGTCCTACATCCTCTCCAAACCTATCATAGCTCCCGAGTCCTACATCCTCTCCAAACCTATCATAGCTCCCGAGTCCTACATCCTCTCTGCTATTTGCTAAGAGAATGTAGGACTCGGGAGCTATAATAGGTTTGGTATCCAGGTTAATGAATACTGTCTTACAGCCACCAAAATATCTCTTTGGAGATTGTCTAAAACCTAGTTCTCGTCTTCCCAGGCGGTCAGTGCTCTTTGTACTTTATTAGTTTTTTATCGGGTTTTCGTTTTTTATCAGGTTTGCTTTTTTGTACGGGTATCTTTTTTTACGACAGCCAAATGGATACAGCCTAGACAATTAATGAATATTGCCTTGCAGTCACGAAAAGATCAGTTTTGGGATTATATGAAACCCAATACTCGTCTTCTCCATTTTAGACGGCCAGTGCTCTTCCTGGCAGTTCCAGTGTGACGTGGATTTCCCTACCGGGAATGGCCCCAGCCCGACCGGCCCGAACCCCTCCCCGCCGGAGTGCATCGACCCTTGGCAGGTCTGCGACGGGACTCCGGACTGTTCCACGGGAGGCGATGAAGCGAACTGCGGTATGTTTTCTAGCCTCCGCCAGGCCTTTTTCTAAGCAGTTATGGATTGTAGAGAATTACCAAACAAATGAGATGTTCAACAAGAAATGTAACATTTGCAAAGCAAATGCATAATGTTTACCTTCGCATATGGTCTGCTCTGTTAATTCTTACTCAAATATATTCACATATATGGTCAGACAGGAGTCTAAATACCTCCTACTATAAAATTGCAACATTGTGTAACCCAACACCAGTTACCAAAGTGACAGACCTCAACAAATCAGGTCATTGACCAGGTCATAGATCACTATTTAGAACGGAAGAAGAGGAAACGTAGCAAACATAATATTGACAGGGGGTTTAACCACCAGTCTGTGATATGCGTAACTGGCGACTACCATCCTCCGAACATTCACCTGTACTTGTGGCAGATGTCTGTACCTGACAGGTGCCATACTGGAACCTCGAGGGAAACTACGGCATATTCATTGTTGTGATTGTCTTTTCTCACCCAGCTTCCACCCCAGGGCCCTCGGGACAACCGCCTACGTCCCCAGGACCCTCGGGACAACCGCCTACGTCTCCACGAACCCTCTCGGACAACCGTCTACGTCCCCAGGACCCTCGGGGCAACCTCCTACATCTCCAGGACCCTCGGGACAACTGTCTTCGTCTCCAGAACCCTCGGGACAACCCCCTACGTCTCCAGAAACCTCGGGACAACCGCCCATGTCTCCAGGACCCTCGGGACAACCACCAGGACCATCAGGGCGACCACCAGGACCATCGGGACAACCGCCT